CGACAGCCCCTAGGTATCATTGTCACAAGCAACAAAGCATTCTAATTTAATTTAGTTATTTACATCAAATGACAGGCTTTATGGTAGTTATAATTAGCACTTTAGTTGACTTCGGGTTTCATAGAGGGGAGGAACATCAAATTCAAAGAAAAGTCGAGAGGAGGGACATTACACTAATTCAAAGTGTTATAAAGACGGCCACAAAGATGGAGAAAAAGGTAAGATGAGGTGCGTACTGTGAAAGTGTCCGAATATGACATACAGTCGGGTCATAGCATTTTGGAGTCAGAAACGAACTTCCAGTTTATAGACTTTTTTGCCGTATGAGTATGCGTTGCCCAGGGTGCACCATGTGCAGGTAAGTCTATCGCGCACGCCACAAAAGGTGTAATAACATAGTTACTCTGACCAAGATTGTTTAAAGTAATTATTGATTTTGATCATCAAAGTTACTGACATTGAATTTCAGAGTCTAGTCGAAGCTGAGCCAAAATGTTGATGGTTTTAGAGAAAGAATCTATTGTACTACGATGAATAATTTTAATTTTTGATTTTCCACTGGGACTTACTGTCTGAAATCCCACTAGTCTCACAATTAATTTTTGCCTATTTTCCTCTGTTCCGTTTGTGTAGGCTGTTACATCTCTCAGTAACGCTGTCCTGGGCGAAATCGAAAACATTCTAATCAGTGATCACCAATCTACGGAGGATTTTCTTTAATTTTAACTTTATTGTTGTGGATATAAGATGATGAAGATTATTGCTGGTCAAATAAAGTGCCTTTTGTACTATTGATGCGATTTTTCATATGTTGTGTTTAGGTGAATTTAGGGAAAAGACAACCAGACAAGACATGTGGAATTGAATAAATTGCAATAAAATAACCTTTAATGGCATACTAACTGATAATAATTAACAAGCACTTTTCGTAGTGTTTTCTGGAACTAATTGAGCTTAGAGGAGTAGTTTCATTTGCAGACAGTGGGGCTGGTTTTTTCAATCATTGAGTGTGAGTAGGTTGGTATCGACTTTGTTATCGAACACATTTGAAGTATTCTGCCTGCGTATTGTGGATTACTCGAGGACATAGATTTCGTGAATCCATTAAAACAAAATGCGATGGTTGGGTGGATGACTTTTCTGATGCTCATCACGGTAAAGAGCATGAAAGCAAAACGTACTCATATAAAGCTTTTCATTAAATGGGCTCCCATATAAGTCTGTGTGAATAAGATGAATAACTAAAAATATTACGTTCTTTTAGTTAAACTTAACGCGCATAACACTTGCTATTGATACATAAAATGTACTACGATTACTGCAGCAAAATAGCTTGGACATACAAATCAGTTATTCCTACTGGGTAGAGAAATTAATGAAAATTTTCGACTGGCAGTCATTGGACTAACATACCCACTGTAGTTTCAAGGCTCTTTGTTGGACCACATGATGAGAAACGGGGACGCGAGAATAATTGACCCTCTCCTGTTATCAAATACATTCTGAGTGCTTAACTTAAAATCGTCGCTATACGATACGATGAATTAAATCAAGGCATTATCTTTCTCTGGAGTCTTTTGACGCTGTCTCAGACAGTTAAGCACTCAACTTCAAGAGTCTACCTTTGCGGCGGTCACCAACGTGACGCATATTCTGTGAAAATAATTGGTACTAGGGATCGTACTCAACAAATGGACGTATTCAGCTGCCTTCCTGATTTTTAACCCATGGTTCGGCAGGCACTCTAAAACATCACGGTGTGTACCGAATCGGTCTTCTTACCGATTGCACACCCAAGATGTAAGTGTTGAGTAATATTTATTTTAAGGTGAAAGTTACCTTGGGCATTTAATTTGGGATAAGACTAAATATATAGAGTAATTTTTACCAATAAGTATAGGTTGAGTGGATTTAAAGCCTAACTCGATTCTTCATGTAGACATCACTATATATTCAAAAATGATTTAAAAATGCAGCAATACAAATATATATCCAAAAGAGGTCTAGAATATAATAATCTATAGCGGAGGGAAAGCCTGGAGTTTACTGACAACAAGTTTTTGCTGTTGGTGTGCCAGATAACCCTTGATTTTGCCCTGTAACAAAGAATACGACTCAATGAAAATGTAGAATCTAGAGGAGAATGGCAAATTCGAATATATTTATAGAGGTCAAATAATAAGCTAGTAGATTACCTCGTAAATTAAATTCGCCAAGATGCACTCTGTTTCATCCTCATCTATATCTTCAACCTGGATGGATAAATGAAAATTTTTAGCAGGTGCTACTAGGATTCAAATAAGTAGATGGAATGTTAAGAAATATCACATACTCCCATCGTTTTCAGGGCTTTCATAAAGGCACCAATTGGAAGCAAATGGGTATTTAGGATTTGAGCTCTATAGCAGAAAAAAATTGACAAAACAACGAAATAACTCACATTCTTTTGAATAAGTTCCGATAAGTAATCATCTTCAGCTTTTCCAAAATCAAATAGATGCCACAAGATATAAAGAAGGCCTCATTTTTCTCTAATTCATCATGCAGTTTCTGCAAATTTCCATTTCTAAATAAAACGTAATTGCAAGCCAAAATTCAAAAAATCTACTTAACGGCAATCGCAATACCCTCAAATTCCATCAAATCATATTTGTGAAGAAGACTGCCTTTGGGAATGATTCCCTATAAGAAAAGAATATCAAAATTGAATAAAAGAAGCCTACCAAAAGCATTCTAACCGGAATGAGGTAGATAAGAGCTAACCTCTTGTTTGCTCTATTTGACGCCAAGCAGCGTTCAAAGGTATATGTTAAGCATTTGTTTGCTAGAAGGGCGAGTTAATAAAGGTTAAAAATATTTACCCAACTTTAGATCACCATCAAACATAGCCTTTCGCCCAACATAGTAGTTATAGGTGACACGTTGAGCAAGAGTGAAATAATTATCAATATTCATATTCTCAATGGCTCGAATAATAGGTTTGCACAAGTTGAGCTTATTAATCTAACGGGAAAAATCAAACAACAATGATTTCCATACATGAAAATAGATTTTGAATAGTTGATTAGCCAGCCCCATCATTCCGCACTTCTTTGAATCCTCGATTCTCGTGCGTCTAAGAAAGTAAATTGTCGGCACAAGACATACCCGTCGGCTGCGCAAGTTTGAAAGAGCCTCATTATAGACTGAGCCACACGTTCCAGATAACTACTATAAGAGGTGTCGTCTCCCTCGGCTACTCGAATACCGCTTGTGACATCCAGTCGATGTGCGAACTTTCTCAAATCCACAACCACCGCAATTACAACTGGAAGTAGCCAATTTTCTTCCTGAGCTTCAGAAAATGCTTTCGTCAAACCAGTATAACAATTTGAATTAAGGAAAATGAAAGAAAGGAAAAATAATATGAACAAAAAATGAAGTAAAGAGGATATCCTGTTAAGACAATCTGACATCGACAGGCCTCATCATAATCATTTTCGCCAATTGCCCACAAACATCTAAAAAAATTAAATTTACAAATTAAAACCACCTTAAATGTGCTGACACAATTTCATTCCATGGACTGTCAAATACCTCAGCAACCACAGTTTCTGGATTCGGTAAAGCTAGATGGCGATTTTTCGCATGCTTGTCAGAGCATTGAAGACAAGCTGCTAGCTGCCTTCCTTGACGGTTATTAAGATATCTTTCGGCCTACTAAATCAGCTAGATAAACAAAGGAAACCTCATATAAATAAGACTGAAGGGACATCATGCCAATAATTATAACTTGATAAACGATTGTCAATTAGAAACTTTCAAAGCTTGTTCGTGACCTTCGATATTTAAAACATTTAAAAACTTGATCAAAAATATTATAATTTAGATTTTGCGTGTTTTGCTTTGTTTTTCTTACATCAATCAAAAATCAATATTATAGAGGAAGTTACAATAGTATATCTCGAATATTTTGCACCATTGCGAATGATAGACCATTAAGAAATTAATATCCAATAAATTCAATCATATGATTATATGCAGTTAAAAAATAATTGCCAATTTCAAAGTAGTAAGGACTTACGGTACGTATTTATTAGCTCTTTTCCTTTTTTGGTCAACTGTCAACAAAGTAAATACTAATCGGAGGAGCGTACAGATTAGGACATTAATTATTACTTAAAGGAAACAAATTGAAAATTAAAGATTTAATAATTAATAGTTCACTTTAAATACAGTTGCGATTTACGAAAATGAGCATTAAAAATGCACACTTAACTGTTCTTTACGGCAGGCTCATCAATTTCTTGCTAACCCTTGAGCTTAGTTGGTAGCATTTATCGACAGCAAATACAAGATTGTATCATATCAATATTTCATTTAACTTCAGATTTATTTAATATTAATGATAGCGTACCGCTAGAGAAGAAGAAATATAATTACGATTGAATCATATAGGTTGTAGCTTTTTTATTGAGTAACTTTAAATGCCCTTGCTTTTATGCAGAAATATATTAAAATTCAAGCCTTCTTTTGAATTCTTTCGGGCTCCCACGAACTAGAAAACTTATTCCAATTCACTTTCTTACTTGTATTTTAAAATACGCTAGGTATAAGTTGACTGAGTATTGGTCTAGTCAGTAACATGTTATTTTAGAAATAAATCATCCCTTCATTTTGATCAACAGATATTTTAACATATCGCCAGTGTCTAAATCTTCAGCAAGCTTAGTACAACGAGGTATACAATATTTACCCGATTCCTAGAGAGTGAGCTGTCGCTGAGGACAATGGCTATTTAATTTGGCACTTGGAAAAGTTATTTACCAAGTATATCATGATATTTTAATATATAATTTCGATGGAAGGAATTGAAAACCTAACGTATTAGCATGCAAACAGTTTAGTGCTTCGGTCCCTTTAGAGTAATCATCGTATCGAACGAATGTTAAGCTCCAGACCATGAAAAGTAAAATCGAATGGATTGGCAGAAGTAGGGACAAAAGAAGATTTTTTGCAGGAGAAAATGTAATATGTGATTCAATTGCCAGCAGACAAAGGTCACTGCATGACGTGGCAAAAGTCTGGACATGAGGTTACAAATGCGTGCATGAAGGATACGAGACTAGTTTAGGCCATGTTGGGAAATTCTGACAAGTCTCTGGATAAATGAAATGTAAGAATTCTAAGAGGGGCTTTCTAGGCATAACGGAGCGAATCGTGAATAACATTAATCGAATATATTGTTCTAAATTTGTGTTTATTGGTTTTTACTACCGTGCACTGGAGTAGTTAAATAAATTTTTGTTGTCTTGAAGTAACGAGCCAAATCGGTTAGAAACCAATAGTCAGAAATTGAAGTTATCGGCTAAAAGTTAAATCTCACCTTTCATTTTGTTACCAGTCGCTTTCCCGTTGGCCAAATAATCACCTAGGGGACAGTCCCGAAAGCCTAGATATATTAATTACCAAGAGCTTCGTTTGAAATTGTTGTGCACAAATTTCATTCTTCTTAAAAGGTGCCAATTTCAGGATCTATCCCCTAAGGGATGGGTACTTGCAATACGTATAACTTACGGAAGTTGGGTAAGTGGATTAACTCATCGTGCCGTCTAGGTCACTGAAATCCGCTCAGACAAAATGAATTCGATTACCCATTTATGGTAAAAAGTAGGAAATAATAACGAACAACTTGAGTTACGTCATCGTATAGACCATTAGGAATTCTAGAAAAATTGTACCCAGTGTACCATACATGACAGTTTTTTCATAAGGACAAGCCAACTTGCCGCAAATAAATATTAACGCACGAACAAATAAAGGAATATATACACATATATTTTTCGTCGTAAATTCGAAAGAGAACAGTGATATACTATCTACTCCTTCTTGAGTCTTGCATCTTCAGATAGTCCAACCACTTTACGAGAATGCTCAACTTCTTTGTGCGTCTTGTGCCTATCTTTACCCATGATCTGATCAGCTAAAAGGCCACTGAAAACCAGTGCTGCACCGAGAACCTGTTGTGTTGAAATTGCATGTCCAAAAAGTGCTATTGATGCGAGAACTGTGAAGAATTTTCTCGTAGTTGTTACAATGGAGCACATCAAGGAGCCAAAATTGATGATCGTTGTGTAGATGAACATCTTAAAAGAAGAATGAAATAAACTAAGATCTGTGGCAATAGATGAAAGATAAGATTTCCTTTATTAAACCCATAGAGACTTACCTGCCCAACAGCACTAACAATTCCAAAGAGAAGGATATATACAAGAACAAATGGATATGTCTTCACAAAAAGTAGAAAGGCGAACAGCTCATTTTTCGCAATAACAGCTAAAATGTATAAAAGTGAATAAGTTGATCTTAGATATTTTAGTGACCTCAGATTTATAATTTAAATCTGAACAAAATATGATGCACCTAACCAAAGATATAAAAGCGACCAAAGATTTAGCCTCATCATTAGCGAGTAGGGACCAATGTGGGTTCGAGATCGAAAGTCCTCCTGCATTCCACCAGTAAAGCCGTCCAAAGTCAAAGAAATAAGCTAAAGGAAGACAAGACAACATTAGGCGACGGACCAAACATAAAAGTTAATAGTGGAACAAATACTGACCAAAAGGATATGACCCCATCCCAGATCGACAGAGGCACCAGATTTGGAGTGATTACCCTTGTACATAAACAAAATCACACCGGCAGTGATCATTCCGACGAACAGATATCGCCTAAGTGGATACCGCTTTCGAGCCCAGATGATACTCAAAAGCATTACAGGTATAGGTTTGATAGACTTTCCAACAACTTGAGTTGGATAATCTACATAATGAAGGCTAGTATTGCTGCTAAACATTGCCCCAATATAACTCAAGGCGCATAAAGCATAGTCCTTTGTGGCTATTTTCGTTACCTCTGGCTCAGGCTTAACTTGGAGAGCTACGAAAAAGTATAAGACATAAAGTAACGACATACCGATTTTTGCGATGATTGCATTAACAAGGCATTGTATAAATAAAGTTGATAGAATAAAGTTGAATGACTCATTATTTGGACCGTATTTAGCTTTAGTTCTACCAATTTGGGTAAAAGAGGAGGCTGGTTTTACTTACATTGTCTCTTGGAGTATTGCATAGAGAGAGTAGGAACAAAATACTCCAAATGCACAAAATATTAAAAACCAAGCCGAGTTGTTGTGACATGGCATTTTAAAATCTAAAACTGGAAAAGACGTAAACAATCTTAGCTTATATCATGTCATATATATTGAATAAAAAAATTTAATTCGAAATGATATAGATTCAATCCTTTATAAACTTGAAGTTTCTTTGCAAGAATTAAATCTGCTAATTTTAGGTTGTCTAAAATCAAGATACTTAATTACTAGAGAATAGCTACAAAGTATAACTTAATAAAATACACTAAACGTGCACAAGGCGACCAACCAATAGAAAAATGAAACGACTACTAAACATAGACTTGTACAGCTGGCAAGTTTATCAATAAGTTCAAATGAAAACATTTTTGAAATGATTTTAGAACAGACTTGCATTATTCAAGTTTCTAAAGTAATTTATAGTTATATGATATTTCTGAAATACTTATTTATTGCATGGAATTAGCTAGTCCTTTCGTATAACCTTTATTATTACTTCATTCTCAACTAGGACTCGCTAATTAACACTAGAAATTGTTGTGCCACTTTTAGGCTTCACCATTTCCAAAGTAGTTTGACACAGAATTGACAAAAGCACCTACCAAGAACAAGCTAAATATAGTGCATATTCGAAACCATAAGATACTTTCCATTTAAGTGCTGATATTTTATAACCCATTACTGAATCAATTTGGAGTCTCTAATAATGTTTGCGGTTTGATTTTACGCAGATAATATTGCTTTTACGTCTAGAATTCGGTTCTTGATTAATTAATTTCTGTTTTTATGATCTTGAGGTTTACTTTATTTCATAAGCATAAGTTAATAGAGTAAATGTGACGCATAATTAATAGCAGGAAAATTCGCATCACTCTTCAACGCCAACGACTTATTACTCATGATTATGAAAGGAAAATTTGATCAATATGGTAGTAATTACCATATAACATGGTAATTGGGGTCCAAGAGTTTTGAACATTGCTGACACAAACCTGGTTTAGAATGCAGAGGCCAACTTACGAAGTTTGAAACCAGGACATATAAAAACATGACGTAAGCAAGTTAACAACTTAATTAATCCGAAAATTAAACATGACTCTATTGGCAATCGTTTCAGCCATAATTGGTTTATGTAATTTTTCATCGTTTAGATATCCCTGATATTTTGCTTGAAAAATATTAATAAAACATAAATTAAAGAAATATGGCATTAAGCGGGTAGATATATAACACTAATGCAAGCTAGGTGTTTACAATTTTTATGGATGTGAGATACGCATAACAAGGGCTGAAATTTTCATTCGATTCAAGGTGTCGCAGAATTCGAGTTTATGTATTTTTTTGAAAATAAATACAAAATCATTTATATTTCTGATAACTGACAAGTGGTCGTTGTAACATTGACTAGTAATTCAAGAAGTTCAAATTTTTTAAATATAGACTACTTACTTACCCCCTTTGTTCTCTATGGCACCTAATATCCTAATACCAAGCTTTCTTGGTCCACTATTCGAAAACAATGTTAAAAGTTTTGAAAAGACTGGTAGTATAAGCCTATCCCAGATCTAAGGGCTACTCCCAGCGATGTCATATTTAAGCCACTAAACATTGAGGAGTTGGATATAGATAGACATTTTTGCCCTGCACTCTGGTTATAATGAATGCTGAACTAATCGATGAGAAGTAGGGACCTGAAATATATTGAACCACCAAATTAAGCTGCTTGAGATGAAAATAACTACTGCACATCGCACACTTGAGCCCTTTCAGATCCATTGGTTCATTCCTTTTATTATTATTATTATTGTATATATATATATATATATATATATATATATATGACCATTCTTTATACCTTTATTTATTATTAGGCTTGCCATAGCCAATTCTTATGACAATCACACATTTGGAACACTTGTATTAAGTTTAACCACAACTATAATCGAACTACTGCAGTTTCATAGATGATACTAAATAGGTGAAAGCTCAAACCACTTTAAAACATTTGATAGATTGAAGTTGTTAATGCTAAAATTCACCCCCCCCCAGTATTTGAAGTAAAACGTGGAACACAGACTTTTAATGATGAATAGTGTAATTTTTAAATTTCTGTTAGAGTAAAATTGGCTTAACTTTGTTAATAGGAAGCATTCTTTGGTGACACGCTAAAAATTGCACTGACATATTACCTAAAGTACCCATTTTAACAATGAATCACTTATTTCAAATAAGACGGGTGGACAACGAAGCCACCAACACTGGCGTGATCGAAAAGCTGTAGTATTCGCTATCTAAAAAGATATCATAATTACCACATAAATCTCAGATATCGGCTTGATTTCCTAATGGAAAGTAAATTAATTAATTAATATCAAATGGCAGGCATTTTGATTTCTAAGAGTATTTATTTATATCAAATGGCAGGCGGTTTGATGGTTATCATATTGACTTCAGGCTTCACAGAGAAGAAAGGAACATCAAAGTGAGGGGGAGGGGGAGGGGAACAGAAGAGTATTTCAAAGATATTAAAGAGACACAAAGGTAGAGTGAAAAAGATGAGGTGAGCACTGTGGAAGTAGTCGAATATGACATACAGTGAGGTGATGGTGTTTTGAAGTCGGAAGTCAACTGCCGAATAATAGACTTTTTTGCCGTATGAGTATACGTTGACCAGAATGCACCACGTGGAGGTAAGTCTATCACACACCCCCCTAATGGAAAGTCAGCGTCTTAGTAACGAGATCTTGTTTAGGAAAACCCTCCAAATTGGAGTTGACACAAATCTGATAAAACATGTCAAATAGAAGGGGCTAATGTAGGAGGACCCGTCTTTCACACTCTTCGCTGCCTAGTACGGTGAAATATTTTTAAGTTAGAGAATAGAAGAACGATGCACAGTTTGTCACCTGAGTGGGTCAGCATGCTAAAATTCATCGTTTCATAAAACTCTCTAGTTGGAGCTCTCTCATTAAATCTTGAAGAAGGGTGGCGGTGAGAATAAATTGACTACAACTAAAACGTATTACTTTGCCGGAAGACGCGTAGATATGTTAATCATTCATTCATTCCATATTTCTCGCAGCACCAGATAGTTAGATGAACCTCCTAATTTTGTTTGAGGATAGATAGTCAACTAAGGCAGATTTTTTCGACTTTTCTTTTTCCAAAAATATGTCTTTAAAACTCATAACCTTCCTATACATTCAGGCAGGGGATGCGCGATAGACTTACCTCCACGTGGTGCACCCTGGGCAACATATACTCATAAGGCATAACGTCTATAAACCGGCAGTTGGTTTCAAACTACCATGACCAGACTGCGTGCCATTTTCCACCACTTCCACAGTGCCCACCTTACCTTTTCTCTACCTTTGTGTCTGTTCCTCTTACATCTGTGAATCACTCTTTCATTCACCCTTTCGACTTTTCTCACTTTAATGTTCCACCATTCTGTGAAGCATAAAGTTAACTGAGGGGCCAATGATAACCATCAGAAAGCCTGCAATTTGATATAAATAAATATTCAGTCGTTCATCTCCAGTTAGTTTTATCAACTGACGACTGAATAAGCTAAAAAAGAACTACATAGAGATAATTATGTCTGTGTTACTTTCAGAATATTTAATGCTTACTGATTGCAGAGAAATTCGGCTGCTAAAAGTGATAATTGTGGGGAACAATTCTGCTTTTATATGTAAATCCTTGTTGTAAGATTGGCTTCAATGGGAAAACATGATAAATTACCTCTATTTGGTAACAAAACTCGATTGTTAACGCTGTTCTAACAGAACCAAGTTAGTGGAACAAGTTATCGCGGTACAATTTTTATTACTTTCTCTAACTCAAAATAAATATGGCTCAAGATGTAATTACTAAAACATGGTATTGGTCTACAAGCCTCGTTATCAAGGGCAAAAATGAACTTTAATAATTGAGTTATAAGATTATATACTTTGAACTCAAACCGAAAGTTTTCGCTCACCATACTCCTTGGGGAATTTTTATTAATAAATATTGTTAATGTAATAATCAAGTATTGAATGTTAAGCTCAAAATATCTTGTGTACCCAACTTACCCCCCCCCCCCCCCACAATCTCTTCATTCGATAAAGGCCCTCGTTTCTTTTCAGCCTTCAGGAAATCCTTAAAGTATCTCGAGTGTGACCTCTGGCATACTTTATCTGGTTAGTTATTTCAGTTTTCTAGTATTCATATTCATTTCTAAATCCTGCTGACTGCTACTTAGGGAGAATTCGTACTTTTTGGGCAGAAGAAACTGTGTGGAAAAGAAATCATATGGCATTTTTCTGATTATGGTAAAGAGCATCTGCTAAAAACCAGAGATGACGTATTCGAAAACTCAACGCACTAAATCAACTAATAGTAATTGATTTTCTTAAAAGCATTCACAACGTCTACAAAGGGAGCCTGGACTGTTAGTTTTATTTTGAACCATTTTCACTCGGCCTAATAGTTTCACCATAGGATTAAACAACTGGGTATTATAAAAAATGGTGAAAGACGCCACCCGCCAAGATAAGATTCATTTCCATCTGTATGCGATGGTAACTAGTACGAAACGAATCAAACCTTGATGTTACTTACAATAATATTCCTCATGTACTACATGCATATCAGAACTTATCGGTTTTTTCAGATCATCAGCACTTTTTGTTTCCTTAATCCGAAGTAAAATGAAAGCGTTAATCTAATTTTGTACAATGGACGCAGACGATCAACAAGCGTATGCCAAATTAAGGGGTTACAAAAACATTCGTAGCATACACCGAGTAGCGTGGATGGCCAACTGGTTTAGTCAAATAAGAGGGATAGATTCCGAATTTCTCACAAAAGTAGCCCCAAGATACCTTTGCCCTAATAAAGCGAAGTATTTGGGGAATACAATCATCATTACCAATACAATAAACTAATGTATTTCATATGATTTCATGGTTGGTGGCCAATTTGAATCTAAAATAATTTTAGGGTAAAATGTAGCATAGAAAAGCTGATATGTGAATGCATGCTATCACAATACATCAAAGTAACTACCCAAACAGACATTCAGAAAAAAAAACGATTTACAAATAACTGTTCAAAACAGCAGCAGAAACAGGATGCCTTTGCTTTAATGACCACGCACAAATGTAGTACCAACACAAAAGTACAATTTCAATGGTGTGATCGAACAAAAGTTAGTATCAAACATCAGTATTAACTTTATTTCAAATTACTTTAAATGCGTGTGCATATTAGTAAAATTACATGCATTGGTCGCCATCTTCGGGACGCTTATCTTCTCTCAATCTAATGAGGTCATCAATACGCAAAATTGTAATAGCCGCCTCAGTAGCGAACTTCAGGCTCTTGATCTTGGAGACTAAGGGCTCGAAAATACCCAATTGCTTGCAGTTTGCGATACAATTCTTTTGCAAATCAAGGCCCCAACTAAAAAAATAAAAATTAAAGCAACACCCCAGGACAAATATAAGCGCTCAAAAAAGCTGATTACACTTACAATTTCATGTCGGCATTTTCAGTCTTTACCTGACTGGTGTTGTGGACAGATCGTAGACGGGAAATAAGATCAGTACTATCCAGAGCAGCATTGACGGCGAGTTGTTTGGGAATAACCAACATGGCTCGAGCAAATTCAGCAACAGCCAATTGTTCACGAGATCCCATAGTCATAGCGAAATTCTCCAAGAATATTGAGACAGCAGTTTCACATGCGCCAGCACCAGGAACAACAGATTTGCTCTCCAATACGCGTTTAATAACCTAGTCAAGTCATTTAAAGGAACACATTTTAAGCTATTTAAAACAATCACACAACAATGAGTCAATCAATGACATACTTGGATAGAATCGTGCAGAGAACGTTCCATTTCATCAACATAGAAATCATTGGCACCTCGAAGAATAATACTAGCTGAAGACCTGACTTTGGGTTCGTGAAAGAGGATCAATTCATCATCACAAATCCTTTCCTGAACAACTTCTCCGGCCTAAAAATAGGAGAATACCATTAAGAAAATTCACAAATTAGAAAACAGTCATCTCTAAGAAACTTACTTCTCCGAGAAAAGTGGGCTCGAAAGTCTCTTCACCTTCCATATTAGACATAGTAACGATAAGCTGTCCTCCAGTTGCCTTAGCAATACGTTTAAGATCAACCTTCTTGCATCTTCGGACAGCCATCGCACCAGCTTCAACGAAATACTTCATGCACAGGTCGTCAATTCCACCAGTCGTCAAGACGACATTGGCACCAGCGGTCAAAATCTTTTGAATACGTTCCTTTGTAATATCTGCTTCCCGGTTGCGAATTTCTTCCAACTTATCGGGATCTGTTACGAGAACTTGAACGCCCAACTTCAGTTTAACTTTTTGCAGGTTAAAATCAAGGAATGCAATTTTAGCGTTCTTGATTTGACGCGGCATTTGTTGGGAAGCAACGGTACAGTTAAGCGCATAACCATTAATAAGCATACTCTCTCTCATTGAGCGACCATGAGCCTTAAGGACGTTGATTGATTTAGTTGGATATACAAAGTCCCCTTTTCCATCAGGAGCCTTTATAGCTAAAACTGCATCGACTGCCATATTCGCAAAGAAGTCAGCATCGCTAAGCAGCAATATAAAGATAAATAATAGCACAACAAAGAAATTAATATTACTGAGAACTTACAGTGTGATTAGCTTGCTAGACATGGAGGTCTTGGCAACGTTGACAAGGCAGGATTTGCCGAGAGCATCGGAATCCAAAACCATGTTGTTTTGGATATATTTACAGGCTTCCCGACAAGCAAGGCGATATCCACTCATTATGGTAGTTGGATGAATTTTTTGAGCGATCAGCTCATCAGCGTTGCGAAGAAACTCGGCGGCCAAAACGACAACAGATGTCGTACCGTCACCAACTTCATCATCTTGAAGTTGAGCAAGCTGGACAAGAACTTTGGCAGCCGGCTGCTCAACATCAAGCAGCTTAAGGATAGTAGCTCCGTCGTTAGTGATGGTAACATCACCAACATCATCTACAAGCATTTTATCTAAACCCACAGGGCCCAGGCTAGTTTTTACGATGTTAGCAATGGAAACAGCGGCCATAACTTAGGAAAGCATAGTGTTTGAGTAAAGTTAATTACCATTTTGTTTACGCACACTATCACCACTGACCCGTTCACCATGTAACGTTAAAGCAGTAGCAGCATTTGTTGTCATCTTCCGATCGCTTAATCACGCTGAGGACCGCGTTTCTTGTAAACCAATTAGCATACTAAAACTAATGAAAGAAATTTCAAGATAAATATTTAAGGACAGGTTTTACACATGGGAAAAGTTTTATTTAAATAATAAAATGATTTAAATAAAAAGAATTCATTTTAGTATAATCTTGGACTAGCTTGTTTTGTTTCTTTAATACATAAATACCGATTGACGTTTTGCAAAATAGCAAATTAAGAGGGATTCCTACGAATAATCTTTCCCAATTATTTTTAATCATGCTCTTTTACTCAACAACGTCAAATTCAAATATCAATTTGCTTCGGTTGTTTCCATTAAATCACATTAGTAATATTGATACTTATTACAAGGATTTGTGCATTGTCTCCCAATTAGTATAATGAGAGTTATCAAGCATTTCTCTATGAGGCTTATAAAATAAAAAATTTATAATGAGTACGGCAACTACTATTAATTAATCCAAAATTAAAGCATTGCATTTACGGTCAAATTTACGAAAAATTAAAGAATTAAAAAGAAAACGTTGCAACTGGAATTGAACTATTTATTGCCATGAAAAGGTGACAAAAAGCACGCTGTTCTTATTATTATTTGTCGTATTTTACAAAAAACTGGAATTCGTTTCAATTAAAATTTATTATTTCATTAAACTTATTTTGTATTAATTTTGCGGAGCGGTTATGCGAACTGAATATAAAAATTTTTAGACTTCTTTACTTGTATTTTATTATAAGCATGTTTTAATTTTTTAATAGCAAGGTCAATCTCACATCGAGGTATATGTACAATTACAAAATAAAACCCGATTGTTTATTTAAAAGCGTGAGTGCAAATATCTGTCCAAACTTTCTTTGCCTTGTTTACATGCATGATCTTTTTATAACGTATTTATTAATATAACTGTGTAGATGATAATGCTTCTTTAAAATACATATGGCTAAATGTAGAATGTGTTACTTTCTGCTAAGTCGTTGTTGTTTTAGTAACGCATGCTTTTTTATTATGTCTTCATAGCGTTTAAATTTATATTGCAATGAATAATTAATTTTTCTTCTACTTAAAATATTTTGTTTATTTCAACTTCATTCTATTAACATCCTCCGTGCTTTTTGCTTGAACAATAATTTAAATAATATTTGCATATTCATTTTTTGACATTTTTTGACTCTATCACATGTGGGTAAATGATTATTCCTTCCAATGCTTTTCTCGAGCTCTAAAATAAAGGTAAATAGTATATACAGTAAAATAAATTTTAGTCTACTTTTTCTTACAATTAGGGAAATGGTCTACGCAAAGCATCGTTTGTTAATTTATGTTTCTGATTTTTTATATTGTGATACGCATTTTAAAAAATTTCAATTTCCTCATCTTCCTACAAAATTTCTACTTTTATTTTTCATCAACCTCAATTTGATAAAGAACAGGCAATTTCATATTTTGAAATATCTATTCAGCTTTCTTCCAATACTAGAAAATAGTTTGACGTTTACACTTTATAGTTATTTGCATCTCGATATTTTTTAACATGCCGAATAATATGTCTTTTACTTTTATTAAATATCACCAAGAAACTTGACATCATTCAACTATATGTGTATCACAAAATCGTTTCTTATTTATTTTATTCAAAAGAGAAGACAAATCAGCACGTTTCCTTAGTTAATATTACCTCAGGAAATTTATTCATGGTTGGTTGCGTGCACTAAATTTCAATTAGTGTCTTTCCGTCTCCACTAATCCATGTTTCCCCTTCCCTTCCCAAATAAACATACACGTTGTCCTCCTTCCACCCACCCACCTTTCCTCCCATTTTAAACACCATTTCTCCGGTAACAGTAACCACGAGTATCGGGTTAGGTAAAGTTAATGAGCCACTCTCTGTCACTGACTAGCACTAATTTACTCATGTTCGTTGGAGGCCGTAAAACATCCGACTTTAATTTAAAAAACCTGGTTTAAATGTAAAAAATGCATAAATTTTGTATTTCCACTTTAACTGCATTTGTTTTTTACTGGTTTGGGGGGGGGGGCATTTTCAAATGATGATTTTTTGGCTAATTGTCGAATATATTAATAGATTAGTGTATTGTCAATATACATATTGTTCCATTAATAGTACAAATGGATCAAATTAGACACAAATGTTAATAATCCGTTAAGTATAGCTATTTTAGAGCCCTAAACAAGCCGGAATATTAAGATTCACTGCAAATTATGATTTTTCAAAAGGCAAACAAGTAGGTAATTAGTCAAAGGCATATCAGACGGGAGAATGAATTGAAATGGAGAGGCATAGAAAGAAGAAATTAGAACTGGTAGAAAAATTTTACTTATAGGCGAAAATCTTTTCAGTCGTTTGAAGTAGATCATCTGACTGCCATACAAAGGAACTATGGTGATTTGAAATCTGTTGTTCGAGTGCTAAAAAACATCAACGGATCACTACAGAAGTACTTGCTTAGATCGGTGCACAGATCTCCCTGAAATTTCGTTCTAACTTTGAGCCTACTATAGTATTAACCAAGAATATCAGGCCAAACTCACTCAAGAAAGAATTTTAAAAATTTGGACACCATGTCATATTTCGCCGTGTCATTTTCTCATAATGAGATTACTACTAATCAAAGTATTTGAAACATTTAATATTGGGAATAATTTTCAGTCACTATTAGGTCGGATAAAACTAGCCTTCTCGAATGTAAGGTATTTCGTGTGTTGAAAATATGAAACTTCTAATAGTTTATTGAAGGATTAGCTTTACCCAAGAACTGATCCACTATTTAACAGATATTTTCCAATGTTACTAACAGTCAAAAGTATAATCAATGAACGAATCTTGCTGGAATATTCGAATGAGGGAGACTACAATCTTAAAAAAGGGCGTGGTACCACTTTCTTATGCAAATATACAAGTTTGAATTGTTTAAGTTTAAGTCAAATGAATGTATTTTCTCCCATTTGACTTAACGGCTGATGCAAAAGGAATGCATTCAGGTTTTAAAGAACAAAGGGGTCCCAATCGCAAATTGAAGCAATTTAGAAATCTTGGTTTCATGATTTAAATGTCATTTACAAGTGCTGTATTCCAACGTTTTAGCTCCAATCGAATTATGCTCGTTAATATGATCTTTAATCTTGTGAGAGAGAGAGAGAGAGATGATGGTACGCAACTTTGTAAACACTCTCTCCTTCAACACGCCTGAGAATTTGCTTTTGCATCTCTGCTAATAAAATATACGCCTCAAGCAAAGAATTTAGTACTTTATCAAGATGACCTTCATTTGATTTCCGCTGTTTACTTGGGGAGAAAAATCGGCACTCAACTGTCAGACAAATATTTATCTTTAAAGGCAAATAAATAATCACTGCACTTACCCAATGAAAGTGAGTAGTTGACATCGTATGACCCCATATTTTTCTCTACCAATAATTTTGGATTTTGTAATTTAAAATTCGACAGAAAAAGAACAAAGCAAAGTTAATAAGCAAATCCCAACATCAATTAATAAATTTTTCTGATAAAATTTAAAGATAGCCTGCAGATTTCACCTTTATGAAATTATTGAATTAAATGGTGGCTTAAAATACACAAACAATGGTATTATTCTTATTGTTTTCAATATCGGGTAACGGTTAATGAAAGCTTATTCGCGTGAAACAAGTGCGCGGTTGCTTCTACTTCCAAATTAATTTGTAGTGGATTTATGTGGACATAGATGAAAGTTAGACTCCACCTTTGAATGCCAAAACTTAATACGAGTTCTACTATGAAGTCTTCTGAGCAAAGCATAGACAAAGCCCTCAAATATGGAAAACATTAGGATTTCAGGGGAGCAATAATCTTCATCAATGCATAAAACGCCCCAAAAGACTTATTTTCAAAAGTTGTATTTTCCATTTCAAAAAAGTGACTTTGATACTGCAATTTAATCAAATGCACTTAAAATAAAAAAAATGTTATCGGCTTGCTTTTGGAAATATTTCGAATTAGTTGCTGAATTATAAAATAAATCCTTTACCTTCTAAAACTTACCCTTTTAAAGATGAAATAATTATTTTGATCACTAAATTTTTTTGCATGTGCCATTATAGCTCATATTTATTTGTTGAACAGATTTTTCTCTTCGATAGATGCTACTAAAAATCTTTTTGCAATCTTTCACCAATTACATTTTGAATTAATCATTGGATCAGGATAAACAGACATCCTTTAAATAGAGGCAGAATTTATTAGTCTTTTTGAAAGAAGTTTGTGAAAATGGTGCCTTCTACCAATTTATCCAAGACAAATCGCTTTAACAAACTATTGTAGTTTATGAATTTGAGCAAGTCTAGTTATTTCTTTATCGCAGTTTTCAAATTGAGACTATCTTTTTTTATCAAAATGAGAATCACGAAGACTATGGAAGAGGTGGTGATTAAGTACTTTCCACCTGCATCCCCATAATAATTTTATAATTCAGGCCTTTATGGTAAATTTTACAATATTTTGGATAGTTAGAGTGTAGGGTGATAGAAAGCGGTTAGTGATTCACTCGCTCTTTCCTTTAAGTAGTTTTCCCATGACATGTACCTCGTAAATCCGTGGAATTAGAAAACATATAAACCCCAATATATGCACTATATTTAAAATCCTTTCAAAATGTTTAACTGTGATCAAGAATAGTTACATTCGAAATAGCCATGACATTATTATTTTTCCATTCTTTTATATTCAATTTAATCACCTTTAAGAGACAGATTACCAGCGGAATACAACAAATTGGACGTTGTTATAACATTTCATATGCATCACAGGTATGGATGATTCTTTTCAAACATTTATTTGTTTATAAATTTTTTCTATTCTGCTAAAACTATTTAGAAATCACTTCTAACACACTTTAAGTTGAGTCAGGTGTCTACTCTTACGCCGTCATCACATCACCAAATTCAATGAGATAGAGAAACAGAAACATAAGCACAAATAAAAT